TTTCGCTCAAAATCTCTACTCTCGCTCAAAATCTCGCTCTCGCTCTCGATCTCGCTCTCAATCTTGATCACGATCTCGCTTATGGTCTCAATCTCACTTGAGGAAGAGGAAGAGAAAAAGTCGCTAGATCTTTTACACGATGTGTGAGGAAGAGAGATAGATGTAGCCGTGGAGTGAGGGGTGTGAGAAAGAGAGAGGAAACCTATTTTTAGAGAGAGAAAGAGGGTGTGAAGAAGAGAGAGAAATTTTAATTTTTATGTTGAAAAAATCGAGAGAAAGATGAAAAGATAAAATAATAATAATGAAAATTAATTTCTCCCTTCCTGCCTCATCTCTCCTCTCCCCAGAGAAAATGAGAAGAAAATAAGGAAGAGAAAGAATGAGTTAAAGAAAAATGAGACAAAGAAAAAAAATTTGAAAAAAAAAAGAAAGGGAAATAAGGAGAGTGAAAAAAATTCGGTAAAAAATGAAAGAAATAAGAGAGAGAAATCTAAAAAAAGAATAGAATGATAGTAAAAATAATTTGGTATGAAAAATGATGTAAACAAATATTAGAAAAATTTTGAAAAAAGTGGGTAAAAAATAATTTTACCTCAATTAGAAGGCTATAAGCCCAAAACCCATTTTTGGTTTTTTCCCTCCTCAATCCATCCAAATTTCTGTGAATCTCTTGCCTTTTTCGGTGCCTGTGAGTCTGTATAATTAAATCAGTTGATTTGACTTTTTTTTTTTCTAATTGATTCTTTTTCTAATTTGCAGGTACAAGTTTATTGATTTACTATGATGGCTCACCAAATTTAGTCCCTCGTTTTTCTAATTCTTCTGCACAATCAAATCTCTAGCTTGGTTTTTTTTTTCATATTACCTCCTCATGTGTTCTGTCTTCATATCTGAAATTTAGAATTTGAGTTGACCAGTTCTATTATTGGAAAGAATCAAATGATATTTGCAACCAATCCAACTCTTATATTTTTTAGTTGGGTTCGATTAGATTGTCCGATTTGAAATTATTAGAGAGGGAGATGAGGGGTAGGAGGAGGGAGACAAGGAAAAAGGAAGGTGGATGTTGGGTTTATAAAGTAATTACAAACCAAAAGCAAAGTTGTAAGGACTATGTCGGACAATATCATATCATTGTGAGATACGTCGAACGTAACAATGGCAACGAAAGGAAAGGGATAGAGAGACCTGAATGGTAGGCGGCAATAGAAGGGGTAGAAGACGGGTTTTTGAGCAAAGATAGAAACAAGAAAAAAAAAATCGGAGAGAGAGGATAGGGAAACGAAAAGGAGGGGATGCTCTCTTGTTCCTCGCTCTATCACATATTCGCTCTAGTTGCTTTATGCTCTCCGTTCCTTAAAAACATAACAATAGATTATCCAACTCTATTTTAACAAACAAATTCTTATACTTAAAAATTTAATATAATTGTCTATAGTGTTGTAGATTTGTTATCTTAAAACTATAATCGAAATAAAAACTCAAATAATTGTGAAAATAGAAATAATAACAAAAAAAATTAAAAAGAAAGATTTGGAGAGAGAAATATAAATAGAGATCCCAGAGATTTAAAAAGAGAAAGATGAAGATTTAAAATTATTTTGAAACACACATAGTCATGTCATCTCATTTCAATCTTTAGCTCAGTCTCGCTTGTTTTCTCCATCACTCTCGCTGGTTTTCTTTCACCCGACGGTTGCCACAGACCTCCAGATCTCTTCTTTTTCATTCAAATGGTGGTTTACTTATCTATGAATTTGAGCCACTAATTATTTCGGTCGTGGTGAAGGATTATATGATCATTGGCAGGTCGAAGTGGATAACTGTGGAGCAACTACTTTTATATTTGAGTTGCTTTTCTTTTGGATTTGGGTTAATTTGATTATGGTACCTGTTTGGAGTTTGATTTCATTTTTGTTTGTTATTTATTTGGGTTTGATTTTCTGGATCGGGTTGGTAATGGCTTACTCTTGGGTTTGTGATGGGAATACAAACAAAGTCTCACATCAACTAGAGAAAGCATGATCCATGATATATAGATGAGGACAATTATCTCTTTTGATATGAGGCATTTTGGCTTGAAATAAAAAACAAAGTCTGTGCGGATTATGCCAAAAGCGGATAATATCATACCATTATGAAGATACTTGGGGTATCATTGTCCTTAAAAAGTGGTATCAGAGTCATCATCTAAACCTAGCTATGTCGGTGAAATTCTAGGATGTCGAACAAAGAAGTGGTGAGTCTCAGAAGGTATAGTCATGGTGTAATTCATAGGTGTGTTATATCAAGGTGTGCAGAGCATTTGATAAGAGCAAATTCTCGTTCGAGTCCGAGAGTGGACGAATAAATGACTACTTAATGGAAGGCTCGGTGATACTTTGTTCGAGCGGAGGATTGTTAGGTTTGTAAAGTGAATACAAACAAAGTCCTATACTGGCTATAAATGACCTATAGGGAGTTGAAGTGAGGTCGGCCTATATAAGTCACTCAATATGTAGCGAAGGTGGTTGCGCACCTATAAACTACCCAATATGGGACCGAGGTGTTTGCCCCCTATAAGCCGCACTATTTCCACCCTAAATTCACCACGAACATATACATTCCTAAAAAAAAAAAGGAAGAAAAAAGTAAGTAAATAAAAAAAAATGTCTACTTTCTTAATATATTAATGCTGGCGAGTGTGGTTGTGTATGTGGGTAAAGGCCCGAATCAGAAACTTTTTATTGCAAGGGGTAAAATTTTGCGTTTGGTCTTTTTATATGTAAATTTTTTTAGTTATGAAAATTAGAGGAAAGTTTTCAAATTTTTAAATTTATATATAAATTTTTAAATTTAAGACTATGCACTCTTTCTTTTCTTCTCTCTGCTCCCTCTATGGGATGATAAAATAAGATGTCATACCTAACAGTTTATTGGCTGTCAGATTTTTATTTGGAAAAGAGTTTACTTTTTTTTTTTTTTTGAAGTTGTACACACAATTTAAGTTTGGACAATAATAAAAGTTTACTGTCTACTATAATGACATATCTCTTTAATGCGACGAAGTGCATCCCATATCATTAAGATGTTTGTATTTATATGGTAGAAGAACTATTTAATACTTTATAAAAAAAAACTATTTAATACGACTTTAATACAATGTATAAAAGAGGCAAAAAAGGTAAAATCAATCTACTCTTCACTATTAAACATTAAATATGTGACTATTGAAAGAAAAAAATAGAAAAAAGGAAAAGACTTGCACTCCATGGCACCGAAAATGTATCAGGGCTCAAGTGATTCATCGAAACGACGAGACCTTGAAAGCAGCTAGGGGGTACTGGGCAACTCACTCGTGGGGCATTTTATTGGATTTTGATCCGTCGGGATTGACGGGGCTCGAACCCACAACTTCCGCCTGAGGATTAGGACCCCAAAGCTCTAATAAGTTCACCGTTTTGAAAATTTTCTATTATTTTATTAAAATTCATATCTAATCAATATTTTTTCAATAAATCTTTTACTCTTTTTTTTAACACTCATTTGGCGTTTCTCCTCTCCTATTCTCTCTCCCTGCATTATCTCACATTCCTCTTTTTCCTCTCTTCTAGAAGGCATCTCTTTCACTTTTTTGTCCTAATTTACAATGTACTACATAATCATATTTTGCTTTTTATATTTTTTGGAAAACTTACTTATCAAAAATATATTCTTCCCACAGTTCAACTAAATCAATCACACAATAAGAGAAATAGAATGAAAGTGCAGTAAATGACACAAGAGATTTATACTGGTTCATCGCAATTATATGCTACATTTAGTCTTCCGTGACAACATGTTCCACTATGATATTAAGATAATATAATGGACAATACAATAATCTCTCAAATTTAGAGGTCTCAACAAAGTCATCAGGCTTCTAAGAACAACAGCAATAGAATCCTAAGAAACAGGAATGAAAAACCTTACCAAATACTCATGAGAATAGGTTGTCGACGATACTCTACAACTTCTAGATCTTGCCTCTAAATCTCTTCCAAATACTATCTCAGCATCCAACTGAAAAGCGTGCACCAACGCATTCTGGCCGCCCCTCAATTATGCACCAACATAATTGATTAAAGAAACCTAAAATGAATAAGGGGATTTTATATCCTCTACCCTCTCAGCCATTTTGGCTCATGTAGCGCTCAATTCCATTTTTCATCCCTTCTTCAATTCCTTCATTGTCCCGACTCATTCCAACACCGATTTGGCTCCATAATCCTAATAATTTTGTGTATCATTTATCGTTTGTCCTCATCTTTTAAATTACTACCTACATTTTCAACAATTCGATGTGAGAAACACATCAATAACTTTCTAATAATTGAGAATAAAGGACGGCTCATTTTGAACAAATGAGCAAGTTTTTTTAGTTCTTTTTATTTCAGAGAAGAGAAAAAAAAACAATATTTGGTTAAGCGACGTGGAAAGAGTATATTCTTGAAAGAAAAAAAAAGTAGCAAATAGAAAAGTCTGGAATGAGTAATTTACCGATTTCTCCCGCATGAAATTACTCCAATATTTTAATACAATAAAAATAAATACGTGATGGGTGAGATATTTAACATATTTGTGATTCTCGGTTTGATTTTTTTTTTCCTTTTTTTAAATTAGTCAAATAAAAGTGGAGACGATGCAATAAAAAAAATGGAGGGGAGGGAGAAAAAAGAGGAAGGTGAGAGATTAAAGATGAGAGGAGAAATATCAAATGAATTAAAAATAAATAAAAGAGATATTAACGAGATATAAATTTTAATAAAATAATAAAAAAAATATCAAAGTGAATACATGTTAACTTATTATCGATCTATATTATCAATCTATATCATTAATCAGTAGCGTGATGTTGAATCTTAATTTCTTCCATACAAATTCATAGATTTCTTTTAAAATTTTTATCTAGCTAGATAACCATATTTCTTTATATTATGTTGTCTTAAATCAAAATTTATTAATTCAATGAACGCCGCCGATAGTAAAGTTGAAGTGTATATTATAAAAGAAAGTTTAAGTTCAAGAACAAATAGGGTAGATATATTAATGGTTATATTATAGATAAACCTTATTGAGCCGAAAATTTAAAAAGTAATTTATTTATCAAATTCGATGTTGATCCCAGCAATGGTGACGAGGCCTCTTCCAAGCCTGGGCACGAGAGTCACCCTGACGGCGTCGTCTCCTTCAGCTTCCAAATCCTGAAGCAGTTCAGTTATGCCCAATCTCAGCCCCGTCTTCACTTTTTTCTTGTGACCGTGCTTATGCGGCACGTTCACAAAGCTGCCCGCAAACTCAGTGTTATCCGCCAGAATTTCCCTGTCATCTTCGTCGTTAATCAACACGTCGAACTTTATGGCCTCGTTGGCGTCGAATTCGATCCCACTGATCACCAAAATCTCCTCCTCTTCCTCCTTCTCCTTCTTGCTCCTCGACTTCCTCGGCCTCTTCACTTCCGTGCTCACCACCGAGTTCAGAGTCACCGGAAACTTGATCCTCGCAGGCCTCACGCGGCTCGACGACGGGCCTGTCTCGCCAGCGAGTGCGGGGCCCGCGCCGAAGAATGGTATGTTGGATGACCTGGCCACGGCCCTTTGGCTTCGAAGCGTCTGACGTGGCGTGGGGCGAGTCTGGAGCCAGGGGATTTGGACGTCTTGGTAGACGTAGCCGAGGTTTTTGGAGTCGAGGCAGTCGCGGACCGTGACGCGGACGGCCTGGGCTTTCTCGTCGTAGAAGATAAAGGAGGCGTTGAGCCAGTCGGGGGTTTGGAGATCCTGCCGCCTTCCGCCGAGGGTCTTCCAGACGGACCAGAGGCGGTCGATGTTTGCGTGGTGGGCGAAGAAGATGGGGTCGCGAGCGGCGGAGTAGAAGTTTCCCATGTTCTCGAAGTTGGGCTGCTCGTTGTCGCCACACCATACGTGAACCGGCCCGTGCGGAATGTTCTCCACGCTCCCGCCTCCTGTAATATTATTATATTGCATATATATTATTTTCCGACTACGATTTTAAAATATATTGTGTATATTGCATATATATTATTTTCCGACAACGATTTTAAAATATATTGTGTAAAATTCGTCATTGAATCACATCATAATTTGGAAAAAAAAAAGAAGTTAACTATACGTCTTAATTAGTTGAACTGGTTCAAATTTGGACATTGGTAAGAATTTCTTAGAGTATATTTTTGACACTACCGACATGAATATAATCTAGAAATATCAAGGCTAGCGCCATAAATTGGAAATTCAACTTCCCTCCACCTTGTATCGTTTTAGACTTTTTTATATATTGATTATGAGGTCTTCTTGAAAAAAAAATAATCACATCATTACGTTGTTATCTTTATTTTCACTTTATAATTGTTTAATTGATACCTAATCTAAATTTATTTCAAACAAAAGTCAAATAATTATATAAAATTATAACTGTTTAGGGATTACTTATTAATGATGTATTTCATATTTTTTGGGAATTTTTTAATGTTAAGTAATAATTTATTCAAATTCATAACATCTTAGTCATAGGCAATCGCTCATAATTATCAGGAGCTAAATTCATATTGACTCGATTAAATGATTAAATTTTGATTAGTTGCCATTTTTATAAATGTTTGCTTAGATTTGAAGTAATACAAAAGTCTACAAGGAGAGAGCAGGATTCCCAAACTTAATTATAGATCAACTGAATTTAAATGTCGTTGAAATTAGGAAAGTATGAATAAAAAATTGGCGCAGTTGGAAATATGACAATAATATTTAGTAAAATAGTAACCATGTTTAATATTTCAAATATAGCACTTTTTCGAAAAGATGGAGATCCAATATTAAAATGATGACTTTACTCAAATGATATATATCTACTGTTATATACATGTGATATACTACTGATATAAGTGTTTAATATACTACTGATATGAGTGAAAATTTGTATTATGTTTGAAAAAAAACATGTAATTTAAAAATATATATATTAGTATAGGAAAAATAAAATTGAGGTGCTTAATGTATTTCCTTCCACCATTAAAAAATAACAATTACAAAAAAAAAAAAAAAAGAATGCATAAAAGAAGAGATACCCAACCTAGGATAAGCACCAAAATCTAATCTACATACAAATGGTAAATACTTTTAAGTGGTGAGTACTTATCTTTATACTAACCACTATTAAATATTTTATTGATAAGATATACAAATACATAAATTAGATTGTTTTTTTTAAATAAAATTTTCAATTGTGATCAGCAGCACCTAAATATTGTTTCTTATAAAACAAAATACTTATTTCCAACGAGTGAGAGACATATCCTATATGTTGACATGAAAAATTGATTGAAAGGAAATCTATATTTCTTCATTTATACTTTTGTTATCAAACATTTAATAACTGTCAATGTCAAGAATCTAAATATTTTCCGATAATAAATAAGGTTTAGAAGATTACTCAAAGAAAAGTGGTAGCATTCGCTGATTTGAAATAAATGAATGAAAATTTGAAATATCAACAAAAAAGAATCCCGAAAATCTCACCTGGTGATGGCTCGTCACCGGCACGATAAGCGCTACCCAAAAACAGCGACGGCGTACGGCTGTTGGATACCATCTGCCGATACATAACCCGAAGGTTACTCCTTATTTGGGCCTCATCGTCAATCGTGGGTTCGACGCCACCGTAATCTAGATCCACCAACGTCGGCGGCAGATGGTTGTCGTTTCGGAGCTCATCATAAAGCGACGACTTGTCGTCCGCGTAGATGGCCGGCATTCTCATCCCCTCCGGAGCGTCGTAGTTCCAAAACGGCAAGGCGAAGGTGGGGTCCCCAATCAGCTCTCCCATGATCTTCTCATGAAAGTAGAGATAATAGCGATGGAAAGGGAAAAAATGCCACGAATTATGAACCTGAACCTCCACTGGAAACCCAACTTGATCGTACGCGCCGTTACAATAGGCACAGTGAACGTTGGCCTGCTGCGTAAAGCTACGTGGGTCATCGTCGGGCAAGCCTTTCATAAGCTCCACGGCTCGCTTATATTTATCCACGTAGTTTTGGTCGGCCAAATGGGCGGCCGGGCGAACCCGTTATTGGCGGCGCTGCACAAAACTTTAGGAGCAAGAGCAACATTATTGAAGAGGAATTTTCTTGTTAGAAATTTGGATGATGGATATTTGGTAGCATGAAGAAGTTGGCCAAATGAGGTGGTTCCGGCGGAGGAAAGTGCCGGAGGAGATAGAGAAGTCATGGCTTTAAAGCTGGTTTTTTTATTTCAAAAACTCACTGATTTGTGTGAATTTTATAGCAAAAAATGATAGGGTTCGACTATTCTTCTCTTTTAATTTATCTCGATGCATTTTTGGTATTCGATTTAATCTGATGATTCGGTTGCCGACGCAACCTAATTTTGGACATTGGCAATTCCCTTCTAGCTAATCAATATTGAACAGTACTCAACTTTGAAAAAATGTTCATGTATGTTGTAATTTTTATTTTTCCTCCGACGGGCGTAAAGAAAAAGGGAGTTGAAAAAGAAAATCAATAAATACTAGCGGGTAGGACTGTGATAATTCTATGCCTAAGACCTATCTTAATTATACCTGCTACAAAGATGGTTAAATTACAAGTTTGGTTCAACTATTTCATTTTAGTTTTTTATTTTTAGAGATTATACATAACTTCCCATAACTTCATTGGTATCTTTTTTATCATTCTTAAAATCATATTTGAATCTCGAGAGAAATTCCAAAAATAAAAATGAGTTTTTAAAAACTATATTTATTATGTATTCATAATTTGGCTTAGGCTTTGAAAATATTTTTTAAAAAAGAAGTCGAAATTGTTATTAGGCTTCCTTCCTAAAGAACCAAAAACCAAAATTGAAATGATTATTGAACCGCATAAATTTTCAAAGTTGTTTATATTTTGAAATTTTTCTAATAAAAATCTTTTTTTTTTTTTGAAAAAAGATCTAATAAATATTTGAACATTCAAAATTGTGTCTATCTAATACATGTCCTTAAAATTTTCTAATAGTATAGTTTTCAAGGTTGTCGTTAGCTTTTTTTTTTTTTTATATATAAATATTTATGTCACCAAACACACATAAAATATACGTCAGAAATCACAACATGCTTATGTAATTCTTAAATAATATACAGTATATGGATGAAATAGAAACAAAGTGGACAAACTTGAAAATTTGACTTTAAAATAATTTAACGGGAGTAAATGATGGAAATACATATGGATAAGTTACTTCTACCTATATTAGCCACCTAATACACTACCATTAAAAGTAATGTAAGATTTTATCAATATAATATTCATTTTAAGTGGATACGTGGATGAATGTTGCTCCTCTAGTGCAGAGAAGATTTCCATAAAATACGTGGTTCTTTTTTTGTTTAGTCTTTAATAATTTAAACCTAGCCTATTATCAAATAATAATAATAATTTAAATCTAACAAATCTATTGACTTTAATTTTGTCCTAAATTTTTTCTTGAACTTTTTTTCCGTTATTTCTCAATTCAATTTCAATTATAATTTAAATCACTGAAATGGGTGTTATGCCATTAGAAATCCATTTTGAGAACCACCTTCTTTTTTTATTTTCTGTTTTTATATATAAAATTGTTTACCAACATTTTCAGTGAGCCTCAATATCCAATAACCTTCATATAACAAAATTCAATTCGATAATCACTAGTTTTTTAAAAATACAAGCTTATCATCTCATAATTTTTAAATTTATGTATTTTTTTTAATAAATCTATTTGATATTCTAGCTAAGTTTTTTTTTTTAAATAATAATTCTCAAAAGTCTATATTAGAGAGAGAGAGAGAAAAAATAAAAAGAAATAAAAAACTTCAAAGTACTTTTGAAAGCGACAATCTGCTCATCTCCTAACTTGGAGTAATGATTTTTGTCAATATCTTCTATTTTGCAGTCAGAACGATGGGACGATGGTTGGTTTAAAATAATAAAAAAACAAAAGGTCAATATCTTCGAACATGATTTCAATTTAATGAAGATAGGGAAAATAAAAATTCCTTAGAAATAATTTATGAAAATTAAGAAATATACACAATTTATGTTAATTAATAAATAAATAATTTATATCTCTTAAATACTAGATTAATCTTAAGGTTTATATTTAATTGGCATGCTTAAAGCATATTAAAAATATCAAATGATTTCTAACACTAATGTAGTTTCTTTTAATTTTATAAAATATTAACTATGTATATTTTTTTATATTGAGAATCTAGCCCTAGATTTCTCTCCTATTTCCCTCTGTTTTGGCGTCAAAAAAATTTAAGAAATAATTTTAAATTATGTGATTTGAAATCCAATAAATTATTTTAAATTCTTTATTTTGTTTGGAAATTTGAGATCAAATAAAATAAATTTGTTTGTTTGGATGTTTGTTGGAAATTAAAAATAAAATAAAATTTTATTGAGTTTTTAATCTAAATTTAATATTTAAAAATTAAATTAYGACAAAGTCAAATTATGTAACTTACTTTGGAATTTTATGAAATATTTTAAAAGCTGACAATTTTGATCCGAAAATTTTTATACATACAAACTGGATTTGAAATCGGATAAGATTTCAAATCTGTCAAAATCATGCGGTGTCAAACAGCTAAATTCATTTGAAATTCGTTATGATTTTGAAATCACTCAAAACATGGCGTTACTGTTGCCTTGGCAAAATTGGGTCTCCAACTCACAGCCACGTTTTCTTTTTTGACATCAAACTTTCCAATTTGGCTTTTGAATCTTGTAATGTGATACCCTTCCATTTGTTGTGGTCCATGCGGCAATTACGCCCATTAATTTTTTTCCTCAAAAGAAAAAAGGAAAATAAAATATATGTATATTTTATTTGCGATTTTAAAAAAAAAAATAGGTAGTGATGGTGGAAATAGAGAGAGATTGTCCGCTGGTTTTTGGATGTAACGATTTAATTTCATATAGCATTGTTTCTTTCTTTCTATTTTCCATCCTCACAAAGTTGTGCACGCAATCTAAGTTGGAAAAAAAGTTAGAGTTGAATTTGAATATTATTTCCAATGGTGAAAGAAAATTTGGAAATTTGAAAATCGAGTTCGTCCTTTACCGCCTAATTATAAAGTGAGCCCACTTATAATTAATATATTTTCATGTTCATTGCCCAAATTCAACCGTGGTATTCAATTGTATGGATTCTTTTTACTTTAGTTTATTTTCAATAATGGATTTCCTTTTTGGCATGAGATAAATAATGTAGTTTGGAAAGTATTTAAAAATCACAACTACATTTCATACACAGCGCGGCGCTTCTTCACCTTCTCCTTGTGATGTGCTTATGCAACACATTCACAAAGCTCCTTGCAAATTTTGGATCGGCTTCTATTTCTCTGTCATCCTCGTCGTTTCTAAAAACATCAAACTTTACAGGCATGCTTGCCTCAAATTTGAAGAAGAAATCCATAAACACACCCTAAGTAGATGGAAGGGTGGAAGGGTGTAAGGGTGTATTTGGGAATGATAGTAGAATGATTGATTTTAAAAAAAGAGATTTAAGTATAATTGATTTTTCAAAATTACAATCCAAGTGATACATTAAAAATCAATTTAAAATGATTTAAACTTTCCTAACATCACTCTTTTAATTTGTCAAACATGATCAATGGAGAGGGAAGTGAGTTTGACAATCACAAAAGGCCAAAATCATTATCATTTCAAAATTACACGTTTGACAATAATTCTCAAAAAATTTTAAATCACTTTAATGATTTATGATAGGAGGTGATTTCCAAGTAATTTTTAGTCAAAAAATTAATAGGAAATTAGTTTTAAATTTCAAGTTTATCTTTTTATTTCACCTTATTTCCGCTTTAAAATTTGAGAATTTTTTTTCATTTCTAAAATTTTTATCACTGTCTAACTTTATTTATCTACAACTTTATTTATTCTCTCTAATTTTTTTAATATCTCTCTAAATTTGCAGTAGATCCTAATATTAGTACCAAATTAATTTTTCATGTAAAAAATATCGATGAAAGTATGGACATTTAAATATATATTTTTATAACCTATTTGTGATTATAAAAAATATGTAAGAGAGGTGGTAACGTGGAAATTGCAATTGATAGAGAAAGTAGGTGGGTGACATGAAACAATACTATTTCATGGCTACAAATTTAACAACTCATTTATTTTATTGAAAGATAAATATATATATATATCATGGAAATATTTAATAGTGGCTAATAAAAAATAAATGCTTTGTTTCAAAAATAATAATAAGAAGAAGAAAAAATAAATGTTAACTAGTCATCACCTATGTATTGTTGGATTGTTGGGTACTGATGGCAGTGGGAACAGAAGAAAATAGAGAAGCCATAGGCTGACTGGTTTTTTTTCCTCCTTTTATTGGCATTCGAAGTACACCATCACAAATCTTCAACTCAGAATAAGAGTATCTTCTTTTATATATATATATATATATATTACTGCATCTTTTAAAAATATAATATTATAATTATGGAGGTTAAGATTTGAATAATAAAAATTATTGATGATGCAACTCTTTAATTAAACTCTAAACAAAGCTCGAATTAGCATAGCAGCCTAATTATCAGCCATATTCTCGATGTTACAATTTTATTTCCGAAGGCGTTAACTTTTTCCATCTTCACAAAGTTGACCCGCGATAAGTTTGGACAGATCTTATAAATTTAAACATTAATTGTAGTTGTACTCAAAGAAAATAAGTAAAATTATTGGTAACTTGAACCTAACTCAACTGTGAGTTCGAATCTTCATTCCATGTTGTATTAAAAAAAATTTAATATATTCATAATTACCATGAGTCCTATATTATTTATAAATATATATTTATATTTATTACACGAATTTAACGGTATTATTCTTTTTACAAGACTAATGTTTATTGCATGAATTTAATCGTATTGTTCTCTCCGTCCAGTATAGATAAGAGATTTGAATCTTCACTACACATGTCGTTGAACTAAAAAAACTATATAATTCTTATGAGAAAGAAAAAAAAAACAAGATAAAAAAATAGCCAATTGTATTACTCAATCACATTATTGGTGTATTTATGTTTATACGTGTATTTATTTATTTATTTTGTGATAAATGTGTGTACGTGTATTAATGCATAGTTGTTTTCTTGGAAAGTTTATTAAGTATTTTGGATTAGAAATTACTTAGAATAGTGACGTGGTTGAAAATTTTTAACCGTTAGATAAATAAAAGACAGATTGAAAAATA